ATATTTAATATAAGATAAGATTTTTAATATATCTGCAAAGAATTTTATCTAGAATATATTTGCTTAAATATATTTTAGATAAAAACTTTTTATTTTTCTTTTATGTTTAAAAGACGATGATGATGTACCGGCAAAACAACTCCGCGACGACATTGAAAATATTCACAAGGCAGTTGAATCATTAAACAAAAGCATAGTAATGCAACGTGAATTAGCTGTGCAAAATCTTACCACATGGAAAGAATACGAAGAAGGTATTCGGAAAGTAAAACCTTGGATTGAAGAAGCGGAATGTAAAGCAGCTACGATGGGCAGCAAACCTACCACTCTTGCCCAGGCTACGCAAATGTTAGAATCGGCTAAAACTTTTGAAGTTCAATGTCAGCAGCATCTTCCGAAGGTTCAAAGTTTATCAATGATTAGTCAGCAAATAACTGGAAGAGCAGTGGCATCTGATGAAGTTGATGCTGTATACACACGATGGAACGCAGTTCATGATGTGGCGGTGCAAACAACGACTAAATTGGATAAATTAGTTGCTTCATGGAACACCTTTGAATCAGAAGCAAAAGAATTCAACGAGTGGTTGCAGAATAGTGAAAGAAAAGCTCTTGAAGAACCGAACGTTCAAACACCCGAAGCTGCCAAATTGGAAAAAGAATTGGTAAAATTGAAAGAATTCAACAAAAGCATATCTGATCACCAGGCTCAATTAATATCACTTACTCAAGTTTCCGATCATATCAGTCACGGTTTGTCGTTGGATGCTGCTTCTGTGCTGAAGAGTCGCGTCGCTGAAATGAAGACTAGAGTGAGCAAACTTGCGGATACGGTTCGACATCATATTAATCGTGTCTCTGATTCGTTGTTGACACGACAGGAGTTCCAGATAAAAATCACCGATTTCGAGAACTGGATGACGAGGCTGAGAGCTAATATTAACGAGATCGAAGAGGTAAATGTAGATAATGTCGATACTAATCTGCAAGCAGTGCATGCTTATCTTCAAGAACACTCGGAGAAACAACCGACGTTTACGGCAATATATAACGAAGTGAAGCAATTATCGTCACAAGGTTCTGTGTTAGAAGCTGCTGCATTGGATGAAACTTATACGTCTCTGGCAAAGAAATACAAAGCGCTAGAAGATGACTTGAGAGAAAAGAAAAAGAGTTTGGAAAAATGGACTGAACTTTTAAGTTGGCACAATGACGCCAACGCGCAATTGAATCATTGCAAATACGAAGCTGAAGCTAGAAAACCAGCTATTGCTGATCTTGATAGGCTTTCTTCAGAACTTCAAACTATATATACAAAGATCAACACTTGGAAGCAACATGTTCCGCTAATGGACAGTATTCTGGGAATACATATTCGTGACAAGCAAGAAAGACCAATTACTGCGACTATTTTACTGAATGATCTTGAGTCTAAGGCTTTAACATTAAAGACGGATTTATCTACCAAGCGCGACAAGTTGGAGAACCTTGGTGCTAAATGGGATAATTTCAGAAAACTACAACAAAAGATTACGGAGGAAATTATCAACACTCAAAGTAGTCTACAGGATATCACGTATACCGTTGACACTTGTAAACAACTCGCGCCGGCGATCGAGAAGATTGATGATCTTATTAAAGAGCATCAGAGACGAGAGCCAGAAAAGGAAATCCTTCATCGAGAAGGTGACAATTTGATAAAGGAAGATCAACGAGCAATAACTAATATTCAAGTGGTGATCTCTTCGGTCGAAGGTAACTGGGAAAAAGTCAACGAGCTCTTGCATAAGCAAAGAAGGCAATATGCTGAAATGGACGCCGACTGGAAACAATATCAGGAAGCCAAGGATAAATTAAACAAATCGATCGATGAGGCGAAGAATCTCTGCGAGTTGGTAAAACATGTGTCAACTGATATCACTCAGGCGAACATGGCTTTAGATAAATATAAAAGAGCTTTGGAGAGCTTAAAGAAGGGTAAACAGTTTCTAGATAAAATGGATGCTAAAGCGCAGCAGATAGCAAAGGAGACATCGTTAATGTCGAATTTTAAGACTAATGTGATCGAGTCTGATTTGTCCGATGTACGAAAAAAATATCATGAGATTTACGCCAAGGTAATTGATCGGACTCAAATGTACGAAACGCAGGCCATCATTTGGAAGCAGATTGAAGAAGCAAAATATCAACTTACAAAATGGCTCGGTGATACGAACGAAGCACTCAATGCAGTTTGCGAATGTTTGCTTGATGCTGAGAACGGACAAGCGCGATTAGCTAGATATAACGAAGAATTGCCAACATATCAACAACTTCGTCAAGGTATCGCCACGAAGACTGAACAGCTCGTAAAGTTAAACGATGATACGGATATATCGACATTGAGAGCTCTTAACACTTTATTAGACGATCAATTTAAGCTTATTAAAGAGACTGCGGATAAGCTTGCATCACTTACATCAGTTTTTAATGAAAAGAAGAAAAGTATCAAAGAGGAATTGAAAAAATGCAGTGACATGATATCAAAAATCCGCGAGGAGATAATTAAATGCGACGATTTGACTGGCGAGAACACCAAGATTCTGCATAGAATTAATAAATGTCAAGAATTAAAAGCTGAAGTGGAAAAATGCGATTACGTTATTTCGGAAATTGACGAGAGATTGTCGAAAATGACATCAGAGTATCCAGTTATATCAAAATCCAATTTGCCAAAAGAGTTACAGGCCTTACAACTTCGCAGAGATGGTGTCGCCAGTCACGCCGATAAAGTCAACGCTACCTTGGTAGCCTTTCTAACAAAACTCTATCATGAGAAGTTTGGTATTTTACAGCGCATGGTGGCGACTCACAAGGAAAAAGTGGCCTGGTGCGAGCCCGAACAGAGCAGCGATCGTTACAATCTCGAAGTAAAAATGACCTCGCTGACCGATGTCGAAGCTGGCATTGCTGATTGCGAGGCGAGAAAGATAGATACAGAAAATTCGTTGAAGCTTTTAAGCACTGTCGAAAGTAGCGAAATTATCTCCGCCCTAAGAAGTGAACACAATAAAGTCGCTGCTGATTTAAAATCCTTGAAAGAAAACTATTGGAAAATCAAGTCTGTGCTGGAGCAGAATATTGATTTATGGCAACGATACGAACTCATGTCGGAAAATGTTATTTCCTGGCTCAAAGGGTACGAGAATAAAATTAGAATGGAGGCTACAACGCTCCTGAATCCGGACGAAATTAGTACAAAGATCTCCGAAATAACGCAGCTCGAGACAAAAGTCAAGAATTACGACAACGAGATAAAGAATCTGATCGCGCTCGGAGAAGAAATTACCAGAGTTAGTCCGGATTCGCGCGTGGCTCAATATGTGGGACATTTGAATACGCGTTATTATTCAGTTCTGAAGTTCCTGGCTCAACATTTAGACAGACTCAATGAACTCAAACAGATCAAGGATCACTACGTTACCAACGTGAAGGAATTGGAATCATGGTTGCAAAATGCGGAACAGAAATTAAAAATCTTCGATAAGATCAGCGGTCCGAAGCCGATGACATTTTATCAATCCAAATTAAAAGAATTGAAAGCATTTGAAAAGGAACGCGAAACTGGACAAGCTATCTTAAATCGAACGACAGAAACAGGTGAAATGCTTTTCGTGAGAATTACACCAGACTACAGAGAACTTATCAGAAGTGAACTGAGGAACTTACGCAATCGCGTGGAAGCCTTAACCGATCGTACAAACGTAATCTACAAAAAGATTGAGAGCGACATGATGCATCGATCCTCATTCGAGGATAAGTATTCTCAGATAAAGCAATGGATAATTGAGGCACAGAAGAAGTTGGGGGACAAGCAGAATTTGTTGCCGACATTGCAAGAAAAGAAACTCGCTTTGCATTCGTATAAAACTATCGCGCAAGATGTTGGAGCTCATCGAAATATTCTGCAACAACTTCGGGACAAACTTGGAACGACACCGGATGACGAGGCCAGCGAAATGCTCAACAGTATTATTGAAGCACACGAGAAGCTATCCGAAGATGTGACAGATCGTATCAATGTGGCAGAGAAACACGTTGCCAATCATGAAGCTTATTTTCAAACGTTTGAAAAAACGCGAGATTGGATCAATACGGTGGTGAACGAGATGGCGTCCATCGGCGAGGACCTCTCGATAGACCGAGATATAGCTAAGTCTAAGATTGCTTTAATTGAAAATGTGTTACAACAGAAGTCTGAAGGCGATAGGATTATAGCCGACTGTAATCAGCAATTGAACATTATTTTGGAGCAGACGTCGATAGCGGGTCATCCCGCATTACTAACAAGCTTTGAGCAACAGAAAAAAATATGGGAAGATTTCCTTCAACGATGCATCACAAGTAAAAATAAATTAAATCATTTATTCGATCAATGGTCTGAATTTGAGAGAATGGTTGAACATCTAGATTCCTGGCTCAAGCAGATCGAGACGCAAGTGAAAGATCAGAGCTTGAAAAGTTCTGAGGAAACAAAACGCGCACATTTACAGAAGTTAAAATCTTTAGAAGAGACTATTGTGGCAAAGGGTGCGGAAGTCAACGCGATGGTCGAGAAAAGTCAAAATGTAGAAGCAGACTTGGCCACCAGGGTATCCCGTCAAGCTACCAGATATCAAGCCATCAGGAATCAGGCGAAGGAGACTATAACAAGATACGAACAATACATGAAAGAGCATAGTCTATTTAATGAAAGATACAATCAATTTGTGGATTGGATCACCGAGGTTCAGGGTGAATTAAAAAAATACAGCGAGATTGTCGGTGATTTGGCGATATTACAAAGCAGACAGAAACACATCAGAGATCTCAGTGATGTCAGAACTCGCGAGAATGTTCGTTTTGAATCCATTATTGACCTCGGTGAGAAGCTCTACGTGCACACTTCACCGGACGGTAGAGAGATAATTAGACAGCAGTTGAGAAATCTGCGCAGTTTATGGGACGGCTTCTCCGAAGATCTGCAGAATTCGACGCAGAAGTTGGATCAGTGTCTGATGCAGTTTGCCGAATTTTCTCTGTCTCAAGAACAATTAACGGCTTGGCTGCGAGACGTCGAGCGCGCGATGCATCAGCACACCGAATTGAAATCCTCGCTGGAGGAAAAACGCGCGCAATTGCAGAATCACAAGATTATGCATCAAGAAATCATGTCGCATCAGACGTTAATCGAATCGGTTTGCGACAAAGCACAACAGTTGGTCGATCAGACTAAAGATACTTCGTTGAACGTCTACTTGCAGTCCATCAAGCAACTATTCCAGAATATTGTTATCAAGTCGCGAGATTTGCTAGAAAATTTGGAAGACTGCTGCGAGAAACATCACCGTTTCAATCTTCAATGCAAATGTATCTCCGATTGGTTAAATAGAGAACGAGAGAAGCTGACCGAGTACAATGATATAACGGGTGAACGATCCGAAATCTCCCGTAGATTAACGAGCTTGGCAATATTAAAAAACAATCAAGCACAGGGAAAAGAACATCTCACAAGATTAAAACAAATCAGCGAGGCTGTGACTAATAGTACCGCATCAAAGGGTCGAGAAGTTATAGATAAGGAAGTGACAACCTTGGAAAATAATCTGCATCAATTCCTGAGCGAAATCGGTAAATATACATTCTACAAATTATTATTTCTAAAAAATTATTCGCGGAAAAGATTTCTTTGTATAAATTTACTCGTTCAAAAAATTGTATAAGGAAGTGTTGCTCCAACGTAAACTTCTTAAATCATTTTTTAAATTTTCTCGACTGAACTTTGCATTACATTATTGACTTCTTTATTTATAAAACACAATAAAAATAAAGGATTTAAATTTAATGCCGTTTAATCATTTATATTTATTGCAATTTCTCTCATTGCTAAATTTAATTCTTCAGAATCTGTAGAGGAACGACAGAAAGCAGCTTTAGAGAGATGGCAGAACTTCGAGGATCAGCTAGAAGCTCACATGAAATGGTTCCGTTCTATGGAAGCGATATTCCGAGACCAACAACTTCAACCCACATTGAAAGATAAAGAAGCGCAACTTTGCGCATGTAAAGAGGAACGCGAAATCATCGCACGAAAAGAACGGGAAATAGACGAGTTTGTGGATAAATCACATAGTTTGCTACAGTCAAGTAATATCGAACGCATCAAACCACTGATTTCTCAAGTCACCAATAGGTATGTTAAATTATTTCCAACAAGAAAGTTGCTATTCTCATGTCTATCAGCCGTACATACGCATGTATAAATTTCGTCATAATATAAATGAAATCTGAAAAATGGAATCACAATCATAAAATACAAGCATGAAATCTAACATGTTCTTGAAAGCTCTAGATAATATCTTCGAAATTCTATAAAAATACTATAACTAGAATTGATTTTGATTAATTTTTACTTTGTAAATAAAAAGATGTAATAAAAATAAACGTTCACATAATAATACACAAAATAATAAAATTTAAGATATCTGATATCTGAAATAATAAAATTTTAGATATCAGTTGCTGCTTGTACTCAGCAAGGAAGTGATAAATCATTGCCAAAGCATCGTAGACGATCATCGTGCTTACGAAGAGAAACTGACAGCCATCGATGTTTGGCTTACACCCCTTGAAAAAAATTTAGCCATCTTGAAAGAAGATGAGATCAGCGCAGATCTCGAAGCGAGGAATTCGCGTTTGCAAGTTTTATTGGCCGAAAAAGAACAGGCTGAACGTCGTTTAGACGGTCTAACATCTCTCGGAGAAAGAATTCTTCCAGACACTTCCGCTCAAGGGCGTGAAACAATTAGACACGAATTGCGACATGCTCGTGAACGATGGGATCGCTTAGCCGAAGGCATCACCGAGCAACAGAAAAAGCAGGATGCTCAATCCTTACAATGGTTCAGCTATCAAGAAACTATGCAACAGATTCTGACTTGGTTGGACATGATGGAACGTGCCGTCAAGCAAGATTCTTCGATTGTGTGGTCATCTTTGCAGGAGATAAAATCGAAACTACTCAAGTTAAAGGTCTGTGTCTATTTGCGTGTATGTGTATATATGCTCGCTGCTAATATCTTTTATCATTGTCTGAATATATGTGTGTGAAGGAGAAAGATAAAAAGCGTTAAATATATTATCTGAGGCATTTTATTTCAGACATTACATCAAGAGATTTTGGCTCACAAACGCATTATCGAAGGTGTTTCCGAGAAAGCCAACGCTCTGAGACAAGTTACCCAAGTTCTATCGGATGTTCATGAAAAAGTCGTTTCCGTATCGAAAAGATACGAAAAGTTAATAGATACATCCCAAAAAGGAATATCTAACTTAGAAGCATTGCTCGATATTTTTCAACAATTCCATGATCTTCAGAAAGCTTATCAAGATTATCAAAAGCGCCAATGGGAACGCTTAGCTAATTATAACGATTATACTGGGAACAAAACTACTCTTCAAGCCAGATTGGCTAAAGTTATAGAGATACAAGACAGTCAAAGCGAAGGTGAGATGAAGTTGAACGTTCTTGAAGAACATGTGGTACAAAGTGCGCATATTTTACCATCTCGATCCCAGGAATCTATGGAAAGAGATTTGGCCAATCTTAGGTAAATAGTATTTACAAAAAAGAAAATTATTAAATATTATTTTATTTATATATTTAAGAAATATTTAAAACTAAAATAAATTATTTTACTTTCGACTAAATAAATACACATCGCGAACGTGTGTTTGTTTCTTTAGATTCGAGAATAAGAAATTCGCCACAGCCGTATGCGATACGCTACATTGCATCGAAGAAAGAATACAACAATGGAGTGAATATGAAAACTTGTTAGAACGCTTACTTGCTTGGCTTACCGATGCCGAAACATCGTTGAAGAATTATAGCCTGAAAAACACACTCGAGGAAAAGCAGGAGCAGCTTGAAAAATATCAAGTAAGTTTGGGATGATTACAATATCGTTGCGTAATAGAAATGCAGTTTTCTTGGCTTTGCAGAAATCTGATAAATGTCCCGAATGTCTAATATTTAATGAATATTGATTTACAAAGACCACCTTGTTTATCTCTTATCACAGAATTTTCCTCATATATGAGATAGTAACATAATTTGAAGAGAATGTGTACATTTAAAATGTCCACAGTTTTAATCTCATAGATGTAATTATCACTTCTTAGATATAGCTCTTTTCTTTACTATATGTACTGAAATGTAACACTAATATAAATTTTAATAGTGTTAATGCTTTTCTTTGTTTATATTCGATAAATTATGCGGGTATTATCGACGAAAAAAGAAAGGGGAGAACATACCCCGTCTACGCAAGCTTTTAGCTCCAATCCAGAAGCATAATAATCTCCCACGCACAATGATTGTACATAATAAACTTTCCTAGGAACTACAAAAAGTTGCCGATTCGCGGAACACGGATGTGGCAGAACTAGTTGCGCTTGGTGACCATCTCGAACAAGTAAGAAAGTAATATGTGAAACTGCTAATATATTACCTTATAAAAAGGCGAGATTGCGAGAAAGGCGGATGATTGCAACGGCTTTACGAGGAGTCTCTTCGATATGATTGCTCTTTTCTATAATCTTTCAGCTTTATAACTTTTGCCAGAGCAGAGATGGAGGATGTCAACGCTTCATTATTTTGCGATTCCATTCGCTTGATAACATATGTTAAGATTAAAATCGTTGAATTGATATTTTAAAATGAATATAGAATTTCTTATTTCTGTACCAACAAGAATTTGAATTTTTGTTAAACTTTTGGCGACCTATTTATATACGTTTAATGAATATTGCGCTTTCAACTTCAAAATTCGCAATAAGAGGACTCTGTTTTTGCTGCACGAATGGAAGTAAAGCTTCTTTAGCGCTGAGATTTACATCGATAAAATAAGCGAGCCGAGTGATGTAACATTAAACATTTTATAATTTTCTATATGTAACACATATTTTTTGTAATAAGAATATCTAACTCTATTACTTACTGGTAAGCAGATCTCTAACTATTACTTGCTATTAGACAGACTTCTGCTCACGCAGAAGAAAAGAATTCTCTACTTTTTTGTTCACGCATACAAATTGCGCAGAACAGTTCTTTAACGTGAATTGTACTTAAATAAACGAAATATACTAAAAGCGATTTTTTGCAGTCATTGACCGTGAATCTTCGACAAAATGAAGCTGAATTCGATAAAATGAGCGACGATTCGTCGGAATTGATGCAGATTAGTGGCGAAACTAGATTTTCTGTCAGCGTTCAACAAGTGACATCACGTTTCCAATCGATTCAAGCAACTGCTAAGGTAGGCATAGTAATATCACTACAAGATATATAAAAAGATAAAATATATAATTATTTTGTAATATAATTTTATTTCTTATGTAAAATATACATAAAAGAAAAAAAATTTTGCTTTTTTAATAAAAAGTATTACTATTAATATAATTTAATTACATATTTAACATATAAATGACCAAGTTTTGTCATCATAATTAATATTATTTAATTTACTTTCTTTTAAATACAATATTATTAATATATATTAATATTACTAACAAAAGAGAAAGGAAAAATTATCGTTCTCTTTTTAATATATAATAATAATTGATGATATTATTAACAATAGTATAAAATTTGCTAAGCCAATTAAACTTTATTTCTCCGTATAAAAATTATTATACCATTCTACTTCAGGAACTCATAAAGAAATGTGAACAAGCGGTAATAGATCACGCCAGTTACTTGGATCGTTACAAGCAATGCTCCGAATGCCTAGCAAATGCAAGAGCGTGTTATCAATCCACCAAGGAAAATGCTAGTGGTACTCGTCAAGAGTTGATTTCGAACGTCGATACTTTGAAAGAACTTTTATCTCGTCAACCTTCATCTACGCTTTTGATAAATAGCACCGTCGAAGCTGGAGAACGATTGTATCCTACGACCGGCACGGACGGCCGAGATATCATTCGTCAGCAGCTGCTAGATCTTCAACAAGCCTTCGAAGAACTCTATGACGCTGTTGCTTCGACCGAACGTGAGTTACAAGCGAAAATTTCGCGGTGGTCCGGTTTCAACGAATGCAGCGAGGCCTTCGAAAGTTGGCTGAAGATCACAGAGGCTCAGTTAAAGCCGGAAATCGAACTGAAAACTACTCTGGACGAGAAACGCGCCCAGCTGCAAATCTACCGCACTATCTTGCACGATGCTCAAACGCATCAGCAAAATCTGCTAGATTTTCGTGACAAAGCGGATAACTTACCCGATCGCACCGATAGGATCGACCAAACGCTGAACAGTTTGACAAACAGATACGATACGCTATTAAAACGCGCGACTAAATTCGTGGAAAGATACGAAGGTATAGTAAGTGATCATCAGCAATATAGCAAATCTGTTTTGGACACGCACGAATGGTTGGATGCCACGCATAACGCCATAAATCTCTGGGGTGACGTGGAGCTGGAGAGAGTGTCTTTACATACAAACCTGGATCGTCTAAAAAATTTGTTATATAGTTTGCCAGAAGATGAGCCGCGAATTCAGCAAATCAGGTCTCTGGGTGAGAAAGTAATACCCGGCACTCTGGAATCAGGACAGATAAACATTCGTTCGCAGATCGATTCCTCGCAGCAAGAGTGGGAAGGTCTTATCTCTGCCGTTAAATTCACCATCGAGGCGTTGGAAAACAAGCTTCAACAATGGAATGAATTCGAAACATTAAAGGAGCGATGTCTAGTGTGGATGAGGGACACCGACACAAAGTTACACGCCATCGATCTCAAATCTACTTTGGCAGAGAAGAAAACTCAACTCGAGAAATTGCGCGCTCTTCAAGGTGAGGTTCGCGCCAAGGAGCTGGAAATCGACGCTGTCGCCGAGCGGGCTCAGCAGCTTCATAAGAACATTACTTCCCGCACTTTCTATATATCAGAGCTGAGTATCAAATATCAACAGATTTCTAGCAAAGTAAAAGAACTTAATAACCGTTGGCATCAATATGTCACCACACATCAAGATTTTGATACTCAATTGGCAGAATGCACTACGTGGCTAACAGACATCAAGAATAAGTTGGCGTATTGCTCCGATTTAAGTGCATCCTCGCAGAAAGATCTGGAACAAAAGATGGATATCGTGCAAGATTTATTATTGTACAAAGAAGACGGTTTTGCAAAAGTTCAGAGTATTGTTGAATTAGCCCAAGCTGTTTTAGCAAACACAGCTCCGGCTGGTCATCAAACAATTAATGATGCTTTAGCGAAACTTCAAGAACAGTGGAGTGCCTTAGCATCGAAGATGTTAGAGACAAAAACGAACTTAGACGATTCAATAAATAAATGGGCCGGTTTATTGGAGCAGATACAATCTATCAATAATACAGTGGAATATATGCAGGCATCAGTTGACGAAATTTCGCAGTTCCAGACTACGATGTCGGAGAAGAGAAGTCAATTGGAGCGAATCAAGGTGCTTGAGGAAAAGATTCGTTGCGAGAATATCGAAGTCGATGGTCTTAAATCCAAGGTCAATGAAATGATTGCGAGCAGTCAGCAAAGTTTAGCTGCCTCGCAGGCCCAAGATATACTTAACAAATTTGACGAACTTTTCGAAAAGATCAAATCTTTGTTGGCCGAACGGGAAGAACAGTATAAGGATCATCGTCTTTACAAAGAAGCTCATGACGATCTCATCGGTTGGCTTAGTCGGGCTCGCGAGAAAATACCGTCTATGAAGCAGAAATCACTCAGTGATAAATTAGCGATCGAGAACGCAGTATTGCCACTCGAGAGTTTGTTGAACAAGAAAGCTCAGGGCGAATTGTTGGTGGAGCATTTACAACATACCGGAAAAGTCGCCTGCGCTAGCACCAATCCCGCTGGGCAAGAAGTTATCAGAAACGAAATACGAGCACTTACGGAAAGTTTTGAAGGACTGTTTAAAGGTAAAAATCAAATAATACTTATATTTACCAAATAATTATATTTAATTATTATACTTAATTATTTAAATAATCATATTTAAAAAATAATTATATTTATTGTTAGCATTCATAGAAATATTAATTGTGTCTTTTTTGAAATATATTAATTAACGAACTTGTACTCGGTTGCAGAAATTCAACAGCAAAAGAATCAACTGGAAGCTACTGTAAGTCAATGGCGCGACTATAAGGACGAATACGAAAGACTCAGCGATTGGTTGCAACAATTCGACATTCTCATTAAAGCTCAGAAAAATGCTCTTTTGCCAAATCTGGAAGAGAAGGAAAAACAAGTGCAGGAAGTGAAAAAATTGCGCGATGACCTGACAAAGGGTCAAGAACAGATCGATAAATTCAACAAAACAGCTGGCGGTTTACTTTCATCTCATTTAGATACTTATGTTAACAATCAGCTGCGGCATTTGAATTCACGTTATCAGGTGCAAATGAATCTTGCCAAAGACGTATTGAACAAGGTCGAGACCAATCTGGCTCAACATCAAGAATATGAGACCAATCTTGAGAAAGCCCGTGATTGGATTAAGAATGCCAAGCAGATCGTACGTCAAGGAACAGAAGCAGCCTCGAGCAGCAGTCGTGAAGAATTGCAAAGTAGACTCAACAAGATCCAGGAACTGTTGAGAAAACGCGAGGAAGGTCAAAATCTGGTACATCTAACCGTGAATTGCGGCGAGAAGATTATGAGAAACACTCGATCGGACGGTCGTGAAGAGATCAACATCCAGTTGAAGGAGATTCAAAACGACTGGGAGCGACTGGTAAAGAAAATCTCAACCACAAAGGTGCATCTTGAGACGAGTCTGTTACAATGGGCGGACTACAGTTCCTCATATTTGCAATTGCAACAATGGATCAACGATCGCGAAGCCAAGCTACAGCAGGTATGCGAACAGAAAGTCTCCAAAGCTCGAAAAGGTTTAGCTGGATTGAGTTCTTTGGCGATTGGAGAAAGAAAAGCGAATTTACGACAAACGAACAGTATTGTGCAGGATATCGTGGCATTCGAGCCTATAATTCAGTCAGTCGCCACGAAGGCTGAAGATTTGCAACAGGCAACGCCGGCTACGGAAATCTCGATTAAATATGAGACTTTGAGCAAGCAAGCTCAAGAACTGTACGCAAAGCAGAAAGAGACTGTCGAGCAGCATCAGGCCTTCATCGACAGTGGCAACGAATTTGTTCAATGGATACGGGCAGCCAAAGAGAGACTCAGCAAGTGCTCAGAGCCTACAGGAGACAAGGAATCCTTGGCCAGTAAAATCACGCAGCTCAAAGTTTTACAAAGTGAATGTTCCGAAGGCCAGAAAAAATTAGAAAAAGCTCTGGAACAAGGTAACGCTGCCTGTCAAATTGCAGATGCTGAAGACAAAGAGATAATTGAGGAAGAAGTGGCAATATTACAAGAAGAATACGATAACTATGTGTAAGTAGATAAAATTTAATTTTCTAATGTATTATATAACAAAAAATTAAACTCTTAATTTTTATGTATTTCTATTTTTATTTTTATGATTCTATATTCATAAATATATTTTATACATATAAAATATAAGATGCATATAAAATATGTGTGTATGTATATGTAATACACATTTTTTAATTTATTATAGAGATTCGTTGAATAACACGAAGAGTTTGCTCGAAGTCGGCATAGTAAAGTGGACGGAATATGAAGATCAATTCTCCGAAGCTACAGAGTGGCTTACGCAAACTGAGCAATTAGTTCAAACGTTTAATAAATTACAGGACAGTCTTGAAGAAAAGAAAAATGTTCTCGAACAATTCCAAGTTCATTTACAGACATTGTTTGATTGGCAGAAAGAATTAGACCGCTTAAATATGAAAGCTCAAATTCTACTGGAAACATGCGCCGATACGAGAATTTCTAACGCCATAACGCAACTCACCACTAAATATAATGCACTGCTATCTCTCGCTAAGGAAATAATGCGGCGATTGGAATTGCATTATCAGGTAATTGAGCTATTTATTTTTATCTAATGATTGCAAATATTCATGAATTTAAATTTTTTTAATATTTCAATTTTTTACGATTACGTTTACATACGTTTTACATACGCTTTCATTTTATCGATATGAAAATTGTGTAAGTGTGAGTATAAGCGCACACACCAAAAATAATTATTTTCTATAAAATATGAATTATAGGAGCATCAACAACACAATACTTTGTATCAAGAATGCCAAGATTGGATTGAGCGCACACGAGACAAATTGAACGAATGCAAAAGCATTCCCAGTACATTGACCGAGGTTAACAATAAGTTACACACATGTAAAGCTATTCGACAGACATTGGAGCAAGGGCAGAACAAATTGCGTTACGCTTTGGAATTGAAAGAGAAAGTCATCATGAATACCGAACAAAACGGTGCGGCAAAAATTCAAGAAGACACTGAAAACTTGAAGAGCGAATTTGATAAATTATTGGCCGACGTCGAAGATGTTAGACAAAAATTGTCAGCAAGAACGAGTATGTTGGAGGAACTCAACAAGGTTCACCGACTCATCTCGGATTGGTTAGAAGAAATTGAAGGCAAAGTTCAACCAGGAGACGTATGCAGAAACGATCTCAGCGAAAAACGCGCTCTGTTGGAAAAATATAAGATTTTGCAGAAAGACATTTACAGTTATGGCGAAACAGTAGATCATTTGAAGACTCATCTTAATGAGAACCCTAGCATATCGAAAAGTCCTTACGAATCGGCTATCAATAAGTATGACAACTTGAAGAAATTGATTTCCGAAAAGATTCGTGTAAGTAGAATTTCTTTACAAAACTGCGGACAAAAAATATTCTATATTATAATAATAAAGTTTTATAATGTAACATTACGTATTTTTATTATTTTAGAACTTGGAGAATCAAGTCAAGGATCATGAAAGATTCCAACAAGCTCTGAACGAGATAAATGATTGGGAGCGTCACACAAAGGTCGAACTTCAGCAATATAGCGATACTCACGGCGAAAAAGAACATATTATCGAACGAGAAAATAAAGTCAACCAGATTATCTCGTCTCTGCCAAAGGGCGATACTTTGATCTCGAAGATGCTGGAGTTAAGCGATGTCGTGATCTCTAAAACAGGCCCCGAGGGTCAAGATTCCATCAAGCAGGACATGAAGCAAATACAAGCGGACTGGAAATCTTTGCAAGCGCAATGTTATGATTCGCAACGTACTCTTGCCAACTGTATCTCAAGCTGGTCCCAGTTCACGAACGCGTTGGATGGCATGAAGCGATGGATAGATCATTTTCAGAAAAAGATCATTGACGAACAGGCCAAAGATAACAATACTCCGGACGATTTAGAGCGTTGCAAACGTTTCATGGAGGAGGCAATTAAACAGAAACCAGTCTTAGAGAACCTTAATGACAAATGTGAAGCTTTGTTGGAAATTAGCGCTTGCAGTTGGGCGCGAGATAAGACGGTACAATTGCAGTCCGCATATATGTCTCTTCTGACTGACGTACAAGGTCTTGTCTCGAAGGTCGAAAAGAATTTGGCGGATCATACCGAATTTTTGAAAGCCAAAAAGGAGATGGAAGATTGGCTACGCACGGCTTACGGTTCAGTAGAAGATTGCGTCGGTGTAGGAGACACGGCTTGGGCAAAGGATAAATTAGAAACCTTAAAGGTAAGTTATCTCAGGCAAAATAACGTATGATTTTTTCTTAAATATTCCAAATATTAATATTCTACTAATTGCACTAATGAAAAAAGTATCACACAAATAAATTTAATTATGTTTTATGCAATAGCTGGTTGCGACACGCGTGACGGGAGGTCAACATCTATTGTCAACATTGCAGAATGCCTTCACAAAGGCAATTAACATAGCCCTTCCAGAGCAACAGGATCAATTACGATCAGATATGGCTAATTTACGTTCCAGTTGGGAACAATTGAGCATAGATCTCAATACGGTTCAAGCGAAAGTAAAATCTGTTTTGAGTCGCTGGGAGGATCACGCAGACGCTCACAATAGATTTGCAAAATGGTTAGAGGAGAACGAGAGTGTTGTAAGAAATTTTTCAGACACAAAGGGCGAATTCGGCGAGATGAAAACAATGCTTGAACGATACAAGCACATTCAGGAAGAGGTTTGTGATAGAAAATCCGACTTAGATCACTTAATGGCAGAAGCAACGGAATTATCAACGTGGGCAAAGAACGACATGATATTGAATGAAACAAAACAGCTGCTAGATCGATGGAAGGCGTTAAGCGATCTTGTCGATGAGAGGAAAAAGTTAATAGAAAACGAAATACAGGAATACAATGCATATCACGTGGCTCTGCAGGAAACGGAGAAGTGGCTGTTGCAGATCTCTTTCCAACTGATGGCACACAATTCTCTCTACATCACTAACAAAGAGCAAACAATCGAGCAAATCAAGCAGCACGAAGCATTATTAACTGAAATCCAGAAGTATCAAGAAGTATTAGACGAACTCAAGCTGAAGGGTCATGGTCAAATAAATCGATATGTTGATGCAAATCCCGCTATTAAATCGACTATAGAAACGCAATTGCAGAACGTACAGGATAGTTACAATTCTCTATTGAATACCGCTCTGCAAATCAAGAACAGGTTAGCGGAGTCTCTAGCCAAGTTTCAGGAATATGAGAACATTTTGGAGAGCATTATGAAGAACCTAGACATGCATGAGACGGAAATGATTCAGGAACTGGATACTCCGTTAGATAACTTGACTTCTGCCGAGCAAAGCCTCGAAACTGCTCGCACTCTGCACAATAAACTACAAGCCGAGAAAGCTCGATTAGCATTAGCAGTGGAAGCTTGCGAAGCTGCGGCGACATGCGTTTCTAGACCCGGAAGTCCTCTCGATGCTCCACCTATTCAAGTTCCTGCAAGAGAAGTCGAAGTTAGAACAAGACTCGACGATCTCATCGATCAGGTATGCATTTAAATTTATTTATTAATCAACGATTACAAATACAATTAATAATTAATAATAAAATAAATTTATTTATTTAATGGAATCAAATATATTTAAATTTCCACAATATATAAATGAGAATATATAAATAAAAAAAAAAGAATGTTTTGTATCCAAGATCTTTATATTAGAAATTGTACATAATTTTCTCCATTTAAATTTATAGTATGTATTTTTATATTAATTTATTTGAAATTGCATTTGCAAATTGCATTGTGTATTTTTAAAATTGTCAGATGCAAACGCACTTAGCAAATGTGATGAAAACTGTAAACGAGCTCGAGGAACAATCACATCAGAAAAAAGCGCTTCGTGTTTGGATCAATCAGCAACGAGCTCTCTGTGCTGAATGGAAATCACGACCGGCAAAATTGCGAGCGGAGGCTGCCCAGTCCGAATTGCAAGCGATGAATGAGTTACTCACCAACGTGTGCGAACGTCGCACTCGTGCATTAACAGAATTATCGATTCAAGATAAGGACCAGGACATCGAAGAGGGATTGAATAAGCTAGAGGCTGAGTTGATCGATGCCATCGCAGGAAAGCAAGCGGCGCAAGATTTCATTCAAAAATACAGATCGCAAGTACAGGATATCCAAGCATGGTTCGACAGTCTGTCAAAAAAGGTCGATGTAATCGAGAAAGGTAGCGGATTGACTATCGACCAAAAGATCTCGAATCTCAAGGACATCACGGCCGAGTTCGAGTCTCAAGGACCGGAGAAACTGGCGGAAGTCAAGAAACTAGGCGATCAAGTAATGGACTCGGTTAGCAATTTGGACTCTCAGCAGATCGAAGAGCAAATTAAGTCAGTAGAAAGGCGCTACGCGGATATCAGCAAGAAGCTGCAAAGAAAAGCCCAGATTCTGGATATGACAGTGCAAGGTATCGAAGCTACGAAGCGAGAGATCGAGGAGAATCGCGAATGGATTGAGCAAAAGAAGCAGCAGGTGAAGATGCCTGAGCTGCTCGGCTTCGAAAGCAAGCAGGCAGAAGAAAGAATCCTCGCTCTTAAAGTAAAGAATTTTTATGAAATTTATATTTGTCATTTTAAATTCACGAAATTAATTATATATTACTATCTTTAATTAATATATTATGTTATATTCTTATATAGGCGATGCTGAAAGAAGCGGATGGAAAGCAACTGATCATAGATACGCTGGAAAAAAGAGTCGTTAATATGCAAAACGAATTGGAAACTAGCGAGCAACAACAATTAGAAGCTGATACGAGAACTTTACGCGGCGAGCAAATTGAGTTATGCGCCATTTTAAGGGAAGAAATATCAACAGTTAGCATAGCGGTTGATACACGTCGCAAATTAGAATCTGACATCGAACAAGCTCGAAATTGGATAAGATCCAAAGGCAACGATCTGAAGAAACTTAGCGGATATTTACCTCTGAGAGCTTCGAAGGTTGAGCAAGATATCATACAACATAGCAAACTAGAAGCGGATATCGATTCTTTTAACGAAGGCACTCTTAAAGACATTCTTAAACAAGGGCATAACTTACTAAAGGATTGCAACGCAGAAAGTCGCGTTAAACTTCAGGCTCTCTTGGACGATCTAAATAAGGATTACGAGGAGTTAAAGAAAGAGGCGAAAGAAAAACAAGCCTCCTTGGCAGATCTTCTTCAGGGTCGCAAAGCCTTCGAGAATGAATTTGACAAATGTCAACGATGGGTCAAGGAAGCTGAAGTGGCTACGTCTTCCGAGTTGCGACCTTCTAGTCTTGACATTCTACATGAACAACTTGCTAAGGTATGATACGTACGTTTTAAACATAGAAATGATCTCATTTCCAAATTGACTAATAAAAAAATTATAATTAAAAGGATTTGCAAATATTCTGCATATTATTCGTAACGTTTGCATTTGAAGGATGTACAGATTTTTCTTTCTTTTCAGTATGATCGATTAAAAAAAGAGGCGCAAGAATATGGCGAGGACATAGAAAAGATAAATCAACAAGGAAAATCAATCTTGCCGACCGTGAGTGACGCGGATAAACAGGAACTGAGCGAGCAATTGAAGAACATGAAGGAAGCTCACGGACGAGTGGCAGGTGTAATCAACGATAGAGCGATCGCGCTTCAAAAAAGTATAGATGAAGCTGAAGAAGCTGCCGCGCGAGTAGCGGAGGCAATTCAATTCATGGCAGATATTCAGAAAGAGCTTCACGAGCTGAACAAGCCCATAGGTGCTCGTATAGAAGACGTGGAAGGAATGTTGACTGCTTATGAAAAAATTCTCGACGACCTCAAAGCCAACAAGGCAAAATTATTCGATCTTCAATCCACTAACGTTGGAGATCTACATGGCGTACTAGCTCAACAGGATGACCTAATAAGAGCTCTCGAAGCGCAAATAGCGAAACTTCGTCAATTGCTACTATTACGACAACAATTTATCGCCTTAATCGCAGAAATTACTACTTTTATTACCAAATATACTGAAATTGTTCGCGATATCGAGAAATCCGGGCAAACAACAGAGGAGAAAATTAAAAAGTAAGTGTAACTACTGATCAGAAAAATACAATGTGGACAGTATTTAAAATTATAAATTATTTTAATTTTTTATTGATAATATTATTTATAAAACAATAAAAATATTATAATTTTTTTTTAACAGATATGACGACGCTATACTAAAGATTCAGGAATGCGAAGCCACTCTTGCAAGCGCGACGGACAAGGGACAGCAAATAGCGGCGGAAGGTTCAGTCGTGGACAGGAACAACGTGACAGAGCAGCTTCAGTCGTTAAAGCAACAATTACAAGCCCTCCGAAGAGCAGTAGAGACACAAAGGGAACAACACGAGCTGGCAGCAGCCGAGCATAGAAGACTCGCTAATGAACTGGCCGACATCCTCGACTGGCTTGAGAGTAAAGAGAAGGAAGTCAAGTCTAGACCGCTTCTGGCGAGGGATTCGACCAGCGTCGAAGCAGAATTGAAAAAACACCATGCCCTTTGTGCCGATGTGAACGAGTATCTCGATAGGATCAGAAATTTGAAGCAATCGGTACGACATGAAGAAGGAATGCCTGGATCATTGAAGGAAATGTTAAGCGAGGCAATGTCTCTGGTGACGTCCTTACCGCGAGAGATGGAAGAGC